CGGAAGGGGAGATTATTATGACACTTCGAAATGTCACATAAACAGTTAATTGTGAACTGCGAGATATATCAGAAATCGATTACAAATAAATGCACGGCGGATAATTTTGATGAATCGTAGGGAGTTGGATAATTTTTTGTTTGGTATGAAATTGGAAAACTAACAAATAAAAATTATATTTGATAAAAAAAAATTCAACGTTATTATATTTATCATGATATGGAATGCTTTTCAGATAAATTTCTCAAATGTAAATAACATTTACATTACGAAAATTTGAATTACATTTTTTGTATTCAAAAATTTGATCAAATTAAAATAAGATTTTGTAATCTTCATTAAAAAATTTGATGATAGCTTGATTTTTTTTTTCACAAGAATCAATCGTTATCATTCTTTGTTTCAATTTCAAACGTGATCGTTAAGTTATCAGGAAAATAAAAATTGATATAAGATTGTACAATGTTATATTAAGCTAAATAAAAAAATTTCTTTCCCGACTAAAATATTTTTATGCTATTTGCAATATTTAATAATATTGCCTTTTTAAAATTTTTACAACTACTATTAAAAAAGCGGTAAAAAAATGAAAAAAAATAATACAAAACAGTAAATTATAACTTCTCACGCAATATTTCTTTTAAAATTGAGCCTTAGCTTAGTTTGAAGTGGCAAATGAAGAATACATTCTGCATTTTCATTTAAAATGAATGTATTGCTTAAATTTCATTCAATTTGGATCACAACCATGCATGTTTCAATTTCAAATGACTGTTGAAATGAACTGCAATTTTTTGGTTTTTAGAATGAATTGCAAAAAAAAAAAAATTAAATTGTTTCGAATTTTGAACGTACATTTAATCCAATATCTAAATCGAAAATGGAAAAATCTTTGTTGCAAATTTCAAATAATTTAAAATTCTCTCATTTGAATACGTGCAACCATATCACATATACTTTCATCTCTTTCCATTCTTTTCTTTCCACTTTTTTTTAAAAAAAAAAGTGAAAAGAAAGAATAGAAAGATGAAAGTGACTTTTTAGAAAACTTTCCTTAATGAGTTAGTTTCTGCTATTAATTCTACAAGAAAGAATTTTTTTTTTTTTGATATGCTTCTTCTCTTTCCCGCCAAAAAAAACTTTCTTTCCTATCTCTCTCTCTCTCTCTTTTCCTTTCTCTTTTTCTTCATCCTCGAATTTTCTTTCAATTAGAAATAATTGGGGGAAAACAAGAGGAATTCTTTTGTGTAAATTAAAAAAATGGAGGATATGCAAAAATAGAATATGAAATTTTTTAATTTAAAGTTTTTATTGTTTTAGCTGCTAAAACTTACCGTCCTCAAAAATTATTTACTTTCGTCCTAATGAGATTTTAATTAAGAATAATTTCAAGAAATTCAAACATTCAAATAATTTACTTTTCTAAAAATTTCGTCTACTTTTTGCATTTTTTTTTTGATTCTTTTTTTTAAGATATTTCATCCAAAATTACAAATAAAATACTTCCAATTCATAGGAATGTTCTTTTTTTTTTTCTCGATCTTTTTTACATCTGCCATTTTTGTTCAGTCTTTTACGTTTTTTTTTTTATTTTTCAATAACAAATTGTCATTGATCCCTTATGCGTGCACATTTCTTTTTTTTTTTGTCTTAAATTTGATCACATCATAAAATGAGAAAGATTTCGCGATTACTGAAAATAGCATCAACGTATTGTTAGATAAATTAAGCAGATATAATCAAATCTCTCGCTATTAAATTTTATTGACTTGAATAAGTCCCACTTGGCTTTTTAGTAAAAGAGATATTGAATTTTCAATTGGTTGTCGAAATATTCTGTCCGATGCAATTATCTATGTTATATTTGTATGGCTATGTATGTGTGTATGTGTGTGTGTATGTGTGTATGTGTGTGTGTGTATGTGTGTATGTGTGTGTGTGTGTGTGTGTATGTATATGTGTATGTATGTGTGTATATGTATACTTGCGTATTTGAGTATGTGAGTGTATGTGTATGTGTGTATTGTATATATATATGTGTGCGTGTATATGTATGTGCGTGCTTGTATGTTATATATATGTATGTGCATGTAGGTGTGTATATGTGTGTGTGTGTGTGTGTATGTGTGTATGTATGTGCATGTACGTGTGTGTATGTGTGTGTATTTGAGTGCCTGTGTGTATGTTGTATATATGTATGTGTGTGTACGTATGTATATGTATGTATGTATGTGTCTGTGTGTGTGTATGTGCGCATTTATCTTTTTAATGCACAATTAAACCTATTAAAATATGAAAAGTGATCTAATGAACAAAAAAAAAAAAATCTTTTTTTT